TCATCATCATCATCATCATCATCATCATCATCATCATCATCATCCGAGCCATCACCATCATCAGCCTCCTCGGCTTCAGTATCAGCACCAGCACCATCACCAGTCATTTACAGGGCGCTCCCGTCACACGCTTCGTGGCCCCATGGGGAGCGCCAACGAAGACTCCAGCAGAAGGCCTCGGATGCGGCCAGCCCTCCCATTTCGGCGCACCCCTCTCACGCTTCGCAGCCCATCGGGAGCTCCACCAGAAGGCTCCCGCAAGGGAGGGCCCCAGTGCGGCCTCCCCATTTGGCGCACGCCTCCCACGTCTCGTGGCCCTACAGGCGCTTCCACCGAAGGCTCCAGTCGGAGGGCTCACATGCCGCCACCACCCGCCACCTTGGCACACCCCTCACACGCGCCGCCACCCGCCTCCAGTTCGGAACACTCCTTGGCCCCACATGAGGCTCCACCGAAGGCCCCAGTGACATGGCTCGCATGCGGTACCCGCCTCCAGCCCAGCACACCCCCCACACCTTTTCGCGGTCCCACAGGGAGCTCCACCAAAGGCCCGCACCCAGCTCGGCGCACCCCTAACACGGTGCGTAGCCCCACGGGGAGCTCCACCGAAAGCCCCGGTAGCAGGGCTCGCATGCGGTATCCGCTTCCAGGTCGGCACAACCCTCACAAGTTGCGTAGCCCCACAAGGAGCTCCACCGAAGGCTCCAGCGGCAGGATTCGCATGCGGTACCCGACCCCATGTCAGCACACCCTTCGTAGCCCCACAGCAAGGAGCTCCACGTCAGGCCCCAGTAGCCGGGCTCGCATGCGGTACCCGCCCGAACTTCGGCTCACCCCTCGAACGCTGTTGGCGCCAGAAGGAGCTCCCCTCCCTTCGTCCCACCTGCGTTGCGGTACTCTCGGCGGGATGCAAATGGGGGGATCAGTCCAGATGGGGAGAGAGGCGCAACCGAGGTCCAAATTGTACCTACGCCCCACGGAGAAGGTACAAGTTGTACCGACGCCACGCAGACAGGGTACACATTGTACTTTTTTAACGGGGGGGGGAAAGGTACAATTTGTACTTGCAACCTGCAGAGAATGTACAAATTGTACCCCAACAAAACGGTACCGGATACTCATCCCCCCATGTCCTGATCCCCCCATCGCCATCCGGCCGATACTCATGCCTGCACATGGTTGAACCCCTCGCCGGTATCATTGCGTGTTGGCTGGGTGCCTCGTTCTCGAAGCCTCTCGCTCGAAGGTTACTCGACATGACAAGTGCCAGCGCCCCAACAGATGGAAGAGGGGATGCAACAGCTGACTCTGGAGGGAGAAGAAAAAGAACAGGAAGGCGCAACATTGCCGAGGAAAGCCCTGGACACCTCCGCGGCCTGGAAGGCCACCTCCCCCTGCTCGGAGCCCCCGCCCCTCGCGTTGTACTCGGTCTCGGCTCCGATGAACACCAGGTTCAGCAGCAGCACGGCGCAGGCCGACGAGTCGAACAACCTCAGCAGCACCGCGGCGGCCCTCAGCCTCCGCTCCTCGGCGATGGGCGTCAGGCCGATGGACGCCATGCTCTTGTCGGGTCGGGCGAAAGGGGGGGATAGCAAAGGGGGGGTTTGAGAATCAGCTCACGCAGCTGATTTTCCCGGCGCCTCCCGGCGCCGGGAGGCGGCCATGTATCGAGGAATGGGCCCCTCGGTGGGGCCGAAACCAGCTGCATGCAGCAAATTTCGTAACCCCCCTTTCCCAATCCCCCCCTTTCGTCCGGCCCGATCTTGGCCCGGGAGAAGGCGTGGACGAAGGAGACCCGGAAGTTCGGGCCCTCCGAGCTGCCGACCAGGGGCTGCTCGCTGCGGCGCTGGAGGCCCGACAGCCAGCCGGAGGCAGTCCTGGAAGCGAGAGGAGCGGGGGAGGAGGAGGAGGAGGAGGAGGAGGAGGAGGAGGAGGAGGAGGAGGAGGAGGAGGAGGAGGAGGAGGAGGAAGAGGAGGAGGACGAGGAAGAGGAGGAGGAGGAGAAGGAGGAGGAGAAGGAGGAGGAGGAGGAGGAGGAGGAAGGGAATCTGAGGCCCACGCGGATTTCCGAAGGTCGGCCCTGGACACCGCCCCCACCCCTGGCGAGCTCCAGCGCGTCAGGGGTGGCGTTGGAGACGCCGCCGGGGGGGTCCAGCGCCGATCCAAGGATGGAGCAGCGGCAGAGCGTCCTGGCTGGCCCAAAGGCCCACCAAAGGATGTTCCAAGAACCTTTTTGCGGCTTGCACCTTCGAACGTTCCTGGCTGGGCCTGTCGTGCTGTAATATCGCGGTTTATGCTATGAGAACCCGTTTCTGCTGCGGCCAGACCTAGGACAGACAGGAGGACATCCTTCGATAATATGAGACTCTCCGCTGGCCAAACTGAAGAACGTTCCAGGGTGCCCTCCCCCAGGAGATACCAGAACATCCGACGAATACAAAAAAAACAACAAAAAAAAAAAAAAAAAATAGGGCACCCTCCCCGAACCGACCTCGATGGTACACCTCGGCCCGACCGCGTGCAAACAGCCAACCTGCTCTGAAACCATCCCGCGGCATGGGCCCTCCGGACTGCCAGGACGGCCGGCCCCTGCTCCGACCCCAGGAGAGCGGCCGCGCGGGCCCTCCCGGAGCTCGCGCTCCCGCCGCCCCCCCTCCGCCCACGGGGGTCCGCGCGGGGGCCGTGCTCCTGTCGCGTCGGGCGAAAGGGGGGGATAGCAAAGGGGGGGCTTGAGACTCAGCTCACGTAGCGAGGCGCCTCCCGGCGCCTCCCGGCGCCGGATGGAGCCATGTATATCGAGGAATGGGCCCCTCGGTGAGGCCGAAACCAGCTGCGTGCAGCAAAAATTTCGTAACCTCCCCCTTTCCCAATCCCCCCCTTTCGCCCGACCCGCTCCTGCTCGACAGCGAGGCCAGCTCGCCCGGTGGCACGTGCGCCAGGTCCGCCAGCGCGGCCGGCGCCGCGCCCGCGGCGCCCTTGCCCGCCGCGGCGCGCGCCCTCGCCGCCGGGCCCGCTCCGAGGCGGAGGCGCGCAGGCGTTCCCGGCAGGGAGGCCCCGCGGGGGCGGCCAGCTGCCCGGGGCGACGGCGACCTCGACCTCGCCGGCGAGGCGTCGCTGGCCCCGTCGCTGAGCTCGTCGGCGAAGCGCGCGGGGCCCTCTGCGGCGGCTCGCGGGGAGTGGCCCCGGGCAGGAGCGGCCTCGGGTGCGCGGCTTTTTCGGGGGGCGTGTGGGGAGGCCAGAATCCGAGCGCGCAGGCCGCTGCTCTCGCGTCGCGCTCGGCCATCAAGGGGGCCGGGTGCGCACGCACCCCCGAGGTCACTCCGGCGAAAGGTAACCCTTGCGTGTGGCCGACCTTTGGCTGGTGCGCCTGGAAGTCCGGCGCCGAGTCATGGCCGTCCTTGGAGGGGGCTGAACAACCAGACGATGGCGACGACGGCAAGGCCAGTGACGGCGCCGATGCTGGTGGCGACGATGGCGATGATGATGTCCATGTGTCGGTGATGAAAGTGACTGTGCCGATGATGACGGCAATGGCGGCGCTGGACGATGACGACAACTGCACCCCTGCAGACAAGGCCCTGCAGTGAGCGCCCCCAAAGGAGGGATCGCGCGGAGCAGGGCCTTTCAGCACACGCGCAGGACTCGGGGGGCACGAAGGTGGGATGGGGGCAAAGGTGGGGTAATCGCTCCGAGCGGCCCCTTGAAGAAAGACACGCAATAAACGGGAGCATCCAGCTGGGCCCGCTACCCAGCCCCACCTCGTGAGAACCCTCCCTCTACGGCCCCTGGATTGACCGTTTGACAAACGCCGACTGCCGCGGGCCGCGGCGCTTTTGTCTCCCTCAGCGGGCGAAGAACGGTATAAAACAAACTTTTTCGCTGTCGGGGGCGCCTGTCCCTGGGCGGCTGGAAAGTTTATACCCCCACGGTGCCACCGTAAGCGTATAAACGTTCCAGCCGCCCTGGGACAGGCGCACCCGACAGCGGAAAAGTTTATTTAATACCGTTCTTCGCCCGCTAACTCCCTCGAGTCCAGAGGGCGCGCCCGCACACAGGCTGGGCGCGGCGAGCCCTGCAGGCGCGCAGCGCCGCCCTGCGCGTCCAGCACGGCCGCCAGCTCGCTCCTCAGGTCCGCGCGGACCAGTGCGGCCAGCTCGGCGGCCGCCTCTGGGGGCACAACAAAAAAAAGTACACCATTAGTTACCGCCACTCGGCTACTTGAGCGCCCGAATTATCCGGGGTAAATCGGGTCCGGGGTAAGTCGGGTTCGGGATCCCGAAAAACCAACCCGAGTTAGCCCTGACCCGAGTTACCCCTGATGTTTCGGGGCTCTGGGCGCCCGAATTATCCGGGGTAAGTCGGGTCCGGGGTAAGTCGGGTTCGGAATCCCGAAAAACCAACCCGAGTTAGCCCTGACCCGAGTTACCCCTGATGATTCGGGGCTCTGGGCGCCCGAATTATCCGGGGTAAGTCGGGTCCGGGGTACGTCGGGTTCGGAATCCCGAAAAAACAACCCGAGTTAGCCCTGACCCGAGTTACCCCTGATGTTTCGGGGCTCTGAGCTACTCCCAGACCTCTCCCAGGGTGCGCTCTGGCCAGAGTCTCGGGGCGAATCCAGCGGAGGCGACGAGGGCCTCCCAGGAGACCCCAAAGGGGGAAAACGAGGCGAGGGTGGTGGTGTCCTGGAACTGTTCCTCCTCGGAGCCTCCGCCAGCGTGCCCCGGATCAGCGACGACAGCTCCTCTGCGCAAGAGAAAACACGGCGTGGCGGGCCAGGCCTGCTCCCTGGGGCGGCCAGGCGAGGGAGCCGACGCGCAGGGCGCTCGAGGCCAGGCCTTCGCGGCCGGTGGGCAGCGGTGGCGCGCCGCAGATGTGCACGCCGTCCGCATCAGGGAGTAAAACAGGGCTAGGATCGTCCCCAGACTGTTGTTGGACAGTTTTCGAATATTCCCCCTGTAGAGGGACACGCCCGACTGCACCCTAGTCATCGCCCCCCTCATGGCCGCCCCCGATGCCTCGTAAAACAGGGCTCGGATCGGGATACGTCGCTCCAGAGCGTTCCGGAGCGCTCTCAGAGCGTTCCGGAACACTCTGGAGCGGCCGCGGCGCCCAATACATCCTCCGAGCCCGCCGATTCTCAGAGATTTCGAGTCATCCCGATCCGATTATTTTGTCCCGATCTTCGCGTCGTTTTGGGGAGGCGCTCCGCCCGACATTCGCCGCCCATCCCAAAACACCACCGCGCCCAGCCGGGGCCGTCCTCTGCCGCGGCACAGGGTGCACGCGCGCCCTCCCCCGCCCTCGGCCAGGAGGAGCCCCCCGCACACCATCCGCCAGGGGCCCCAGGGCGGCCCTGGCCGGGCACCGGGGTTTGCACTGGAGGCCGGGGCCGTCCCTCGGGGGAACAAGTGCCCATCGGTCGGAAGAGGTAGGTCCAAACGTGAAGTAGGAAGGCGTTGAAAGTAGAATGGGTTCCGCCCGCCCCCTAAGGAGCAGGGAAAAGGTGAGCCCCTCGATCATTGAAAGTAGACTGGAACCTGGGAATCTTAAAATAAAAAATACCCACACTCAACGACCGATGGGTAGCGGCATACGCAAAACAACTCGGAGGTCCGCGCGGAGTTCTCGGACCGGCGCTGGGGGCGCCGCCCCCGGCGCACTCCGCGCGCCACCTGGAGGGGGGTCCAGCGCCGATCCGAGAAATCCGCGCGCACCTCCAAAAGTCAGTGTTTATGTCTTTGTGCGTTCCCCGACTCTCTGGCACTAAGGAAGCGGGTCCTGGACGAATCGGGGCGAGGGGAGGTTCGCAAGTCATGGCCCGAGGCATGTGCGCGGCCAAGGAGTGGCCTGGGGACGCATCTATGAAAATCAGCCTTCCCCCGCTTGCCCACTGTGACAAGGCGTGTGAGACATTTGGCAGCCCACCCCCCCGCTTCCCCTCTTCCACAGGGTCCACAATCTCGTTTAAGGGGGTTGGAATGGGGGCGGGTGGACGAGCTCCCCGGCGCGCTCCCGCTCCTGGGTTGGACGGCGGCGGGAGCCTTCGGAGCCTCCAAACCTACAATCAGTGGCCTCCCAGATACCAGAGATACCATGTAAACTGACACAAGCTGCGTTTCAACACACCGAGAGGGCGTGAAAGACTCCCAACGTGGCCTCAAGACGCAAAAATCGGCCAATTCTATCTGGAAAACGAATTTGAAGGGGGCTGGGAGGCCCAGCCAGCAGCTTCGCCGTAGGCGAAGCCAAGCTCCCGCTCTGCTGTACCGAAGTAACGATAGTCCCAGTAGGAGAGGATGTGCCATCTCAAGCAGTGGGAAGATCATTTTGGTCATATTTAGGCGGCCGGCCGCTTGAGCCGATGCGGCCGCGGGCGCACGGTCGCTTCCACTCCTTACGTCCCTCAGCTCGCTTTAGAGTAAACGTACATGTTTGACAGACTCGCCTTTGTCGGTTTGACAGCGTCCAAGACGGTCCAAAGGGCCCCAACAAATCGTCCCGAGAAAAGAGCCGCCCCAAGACGGCCCAAAAGCGTAGTCGTCGTCGTCGATGTCGTCGCCGTCGTCGTCGCCGCCGCCGCCGCCGTCGTCGTCGTCGTCGCCATCGTCGTTCAGAGTCGGCGGCACCCGCCGTCAGGCCCTCGAATCGTCGCGAGAAAAGGGCCGCCCCAAGACTGCCCCAAAAGGCCCCAAGACGGACCGAGGGGCTCCCAACACGGCCCAAAAGAACGCTAAGAAGGCCTTTAAAGGGGCCTAAGAGGAGAAATACAATATGACAGTTCGAGCCTGTCTCCCTAAGATGGCTCCAAGAGGCCCCCAGAAATCCCCCAGGCGCCTCCAAGAGGCCCCAAGAGGTCTCCACGAGACTCCCAAGAAGCCCCCAAGTGACCTTCAAGAAGTCATGAAGAGCCCCCGAGATGCCCCCGAGAGCCCTCCAAGAGGTCCAATCTGGGGGGCCAGCGGAATGGCGTAAGCCAAAAAATCTCGAGCGGCACCATTCGAGTAGGGGATGGGCTAATTGCATAATCAATGTACCCCATGTTTTGTCGAATATACAAGAATATGCAACATCTGCGTAGATGTCCGCAAAGTCCACGTATTTCCTGTAGGACGAAAACTTCAACTTTGGGATACATCAGTTATGCAGTTGATCTCATACTCGAATAATGGCCCCAGCCATGGTATCCCTCCCCCCTAAGTCATCACCTCCCCCTTGGCCGCCCACAGAAGGAGACGGGTCCCGAGGACCCTTCCCCGGGACGAGCTCCTCGTCACTCGTCCCGCGTCGGCCCTCCCCCGGGACGAGCTCTTCGTCCCGAGTCGTCTCCTGACGGTCGCCAGGGGCTCGGGAAGGGCCCTGGGAGGCCGAGACCAGCGAGAAGACCCTCAGGGCCCGTTCCCCTCAGGACCCCGCTGCCTTCACGGAGATGTCTGCGGGAATTGCGGGCTGCTTCATGGGTGGGCGATGCATGGGAGAGGGAGGGGGGGAGGGAAACGCGCACCTGTCGTGCCCCGTTTGGGCACCGTGGGTGCCCGCGTAGGGCCGCGCTTAGGCACAGGAGGCGCACCTTCCTCCATCACCACCCCCTGTATCGCCCCTCTCTCCGCACGAGGGGATTGGGCATGGCTTAATGGGGGGGTCACAGATGGGGGGGTCAGAAAAGGTCCCCTTTTTCGTGCCCCCTTCGGGCCCCTCCGGAGCCCCGGGGGGCTCGTTTCGGTACCGCTTGGGTACCTTTTCGAACCACCCTTGCCACCCCCCCATGTATGACCCCCCCATGACGCGGCGCCCGCCCGGGGATCCTCCTGCAGGCCCGCCGGCAGCACGAAGCAGTCGACCGTCGAGCTGGCGCGCGACATCCGCGCGGGGCAGCGCGCCGCGGGCGGGGGCGGCGGCGGCGCGGGGCGCGGCGGGGCCGGGGCGGCGCGGGGCGACGAGGCGCCGAGGCCCGCGGGGCCGCACGGGCAGCCGAGCGGGCCAGGGCCGAAGGCCATGCGGCGGGCGGGGGGGGGGGCGGGCTCGAGCCGAGGTCGGCCCTCGGAGAGGGAGTTCACGGGCGAAGAACGGTATAAAATAATAATAATAATAATAATAACAATAATAATAATAAAAAAAAACAAAAAACGAGAAAAAACAAAAAAAACAAAAAAAAAAAAAAAAAAAAAAAAATAAAAAAAAAAAAAAAAAAAAAAAAACGTTTTCGCTGGCGGGGTGCGCCCGTCCCGGGGCGGCTGGGAGGTTTGTACGCTTGCGGTGGCACCGCAGGGGTAGAATCTTTCCAGCCGCCCAGGGGCAGGCGCCCCCGACAGCGAAAACGTTTATGCTATACCGTTCTTCGCCCGCTGAGGGAAGGCGTGCGGGGGTCGCCTCTGCCGATGGTGCGGCTGCAGCTGCAGCGATCGGCGCAGCGATCGGCCGTCCAGCCAGCGGGGGGAGAGGAGGAAGACGGGGGAGCACGACGAGGCGGGGGAGGGGCAGGAGGACAAGCTGGGTGCGCTGGCGTCATAGCTGACGTCCTGCCCCTCCCTGCCATCCTTTACGTTGGCGTAGATCTCCGCTCTATTCGCACAGTCGGCTGTCGAGCAAGACAATGATCGCGAGAGGGTGCGCGATGCATCGTGGAGCACGGCATGGCATGGCGTAGAAGAGCACGGCAGAGCGTGGAATGTCATAGCACGGTGTGGCATTGCGTAGTGAAGCATTGCATCACAAAGCATTACAAAGCAAAGCATGGCATCGCACAGCGGCGCAGAACAGAACACCGCACAACATGTCATGGCAGGGCACCAGGTTCCTTGGAGGGTAAGTGGGTATTCTTCGAAAGGTCTGGGCCGGTCTGGAGTCGCGGCTCCATGTTTAGCTCCCTGGGTTCCGAAAAGCTCCCCACAAGGCGGGGCTGATGGAGAGCACCCGCTGGCTCTGCTTGCATCACCGCCTTGGGAAAGCAGAAGAAGGGCTCCCGCTTGATACTTCCTCCAAACCCCGCCGCCACGCCGAAATGTGGGGGGTGGCCTTCAGCGGCCCAAAAACTCAAAGAATCGACACCGGATGTGGAATCACTTGCGATGTTTTTTTTTGTTCTGGGGTTATTCACAACAGGTGAAACTTATTTGGAGGATCGAAAACGCCCGCAATGCAGCGGGAGCACGTTTGGGAACAACCAGAGGCGCAAAAATGGGGCCAGCGCTGCAGCGGGAGCAACATTTTGAAGGACCGACAAGAATCGGATTGCCAAAAACACGTATGAAAACCAGGATATGAAGCCAACGCTGCAGCGAGAGCACGATTCAGAATGAGCGGAAGCACGGAAATGACGCCAACGATGCAGCGGGGACAACATTTTCAAACCAAAAAAAAAAAAAACGAAAACCCAGTTCCCGGGAATCCTGTGCAAAAAACCATACGCGGAGGCGGGCAGGAAAATCTTCCAGACGTCATCAGGGGGAGAGGAGAGTATCATTCATACTGTGCAGCTGTAGACGAGAAGGACGAGGAGGACGAGCATGACGAGGATAACGTGGACGACGAGGGGGCTGAAGAGGAGAAGGCGATGGAGTACACCCTGCGAAATGCTTAAGAAATCATGGGTCAAGAATTTCAGAGTCTCAGAATTTGAATAAAAACCCAGAATTTCTAATAAAATCTTAGGGTTTACATTGAAACATTAAGAATCATCGAGACTCTGGCCGAAAACTTAAGTTTTCTTAAGCATCGCCTAGGTGTAGGGGTCACAAGTCATGGTGGACAGCTCGAGCGAGCGGCGGCGGAGCCCGCCAACTCCGCCCGGGACGTCTGGAGGCCTGCAGAGTGACGGGAGCACCCAAAGACAAGGATCCTTCACCCTCCTGCCCCTCCTCTCCCTCCCCCCTCCTCCCCCCTCTTCCCCCCTCCTGCTCCTCACTCCCACCAACCATCACAATCACCATCACCACCACAGTCATCATCAGCAGCAGCGGCAGCCATCATCAGCATCACCACCACCACCATCATCACACCAATA